AGCACCTACCATGTCCCAGTCAGAGCAAGTTCTCTAACCTGCAATTTATTTCCAGTTGGTGCTCTCTTTGTTACAGCAGGAACCCCTACAAAGGGGATAAGAAGTGGGAGAATCAGACCCCAGGCATAGTTCTCACACGTATGTTTGTTCCTGCACTAAATGTTACACCCCCTCAGGGGACTGTCAGGGGTCCCTCCAGGCCCTCCCCCCGTCTCCCCCGGAGTATTGGGGTCAACAAAGGAAGGAAAAAAGGTCTCAAAGGTCTCTGTGGGTGTAAATAGCTCTCAGCCCTGACAAAGGGGGGAAAAACTCCTGCAGCTGCTTTTGTCAGAGCCCTGTCCCAGCAGCCACCACATGGTTGTGTAGTGCAAGGAGACAGCCTAGCTGCCTGGCTGCTGTGGTGCCACACGTGAGACAGTTCCTATTTCACCCCTTCTTTTCCCCCTCTGTCAACGACAGGGGCTGAGTCCTGGAGATCTGCCTTGTCATGAGGGCGGTGGGGTTCACCCTGCTCGGGTCTGAAAACATCAAACCTCAGAAGCTGTGTGCAGCATTGCTCGGTGCTACAGGCACTGCAGTTTCTGAACCCTAAAACCTCTAGGTCCGGTGGGTCCCTATAACCATGCTTTCTTGAGAGTTTTCAGTTGGTGCTAGAGGAAACAGGGTTATTGCATGTGACATAAGCAGTTGCCAGATAAACTAAACGCAGTGGTTGCTATCAGGATTTCAGTGAGACAGGAGAGCTTCTCAGAAAGTGGGAATTCGTCAGACAACAGAGTTACACTTACCTCACTTAACATTAGAAGTGCCAGTAAAAATAGGCACATAGCCTGGATTTTTATGTCTAGGCTTCCTCCATAAACAGTAGTGAGAAGCCAGACCCCCCCACGGACCAAGTATCCCATCCTAAAATACCTGGGATGAATTTTCCCTCAGTCTCTCAAATTTTAGGTGGCTAGGCAGGGCAGCTGCTCACCCTCGGTCAGTGCAAAATCCATTGTTATATGCCATAGTATGTCCCACTCTGTTCCCATTTCTCTGTTTCTCCTAACTCTGCCTCCTGCTGACTCCTTTGTCCCTTTTCCCTGGTCAGGGTGTCCCTGCTGCTCCTTACACTTCAGAGCCCGCTGAACCTCAGGATGGCACTGATCTCCATTTCATGGAGATGTCTGTGTACCTCACTTCAATCTCACTGATTAAGACAATCTCTTTTCAGGACAGCCTCAGCTCCATATGCACATAGATTGTACGGGACATTCGTCTTCATGGCTTCAGCCTCCTTGGCCCTAATGGGATTTGCCCCAGGGGACTGGATTATGGGAAAATGACCAATATGTCATTTTTTCCTTTTATTAATGCAAGAAAAATCAAGCCCACCTAATGCCACAAGAAAATCAAGACAATTGTATTTCATCAGCTTCCCAGCCACTTCAGCGTACAGATAAAATTAAATGTCACCCTTCATTACTTTTTTTCCTCACATCTGCTCTGTTTTCCCTAATTTTAGTTTATAACTGCAGTGAGTCAGCAAGGGTATTCCACTGGCAAGTCCTTTGAACAGCCTAAGTCTGAATGTCAAGGTTAGAGCCATAAGGCCTCTATCTCCGTTCCCACCCCTTCTTTTACCCGGTCACGGAAGGAAACATCTAACAGTTGTTCTTTGTCATCTCCAAGGAGAAAGTAGCTGCTCCTATAGTCTGCTTCTGACCTGTTGGTTGGTTGGACCATACTGCATAAACCAACGCTTTTTATTCCCTCTTCCCACCACTCACCATGCCAATGTCTCCTCTCATCCCCAAAATACAAAACATCACTTCCTGCTTTCCAGAAGCAGCTGACTTTTCTGCCTTTACGCTTGCCGGTTCTGAGGTTCTGATGAGGCAGACTACAGAAAGCTCAGGGATAGAAATTTAGAATACAGATAGGGTACAAATTATAGGATGGAATATAGGATATACAAGGTTCAGAATACAGGAATAAAATACAATTTAAGATCCTTGGATGCTGAAGTAGTCATCTTTCTGTATTTTCTTCCCCAGTCTAAGTATTAATACTTTTCTGGAAGTGGCTTTACTTTCATTTGACACTGAGAATTTATAATACACATAGTGAAGAGGCCCTCATTCTGGGGACAGAGGCATTTCTTTCCTGTTTCAGCAGCTCATCCACTTTGATTCTGATTGAAAGAAACTCAATTCAGTGAGCCTCTGTAACCTGCAAAACTGGTGGTTTGGGGAAGTGCCAGTGATTTTGCAGTGGATCACACTCTCTGTTCATCTACCTATAACTCGTGGAGGTGGAATTTCTTTCCATCGGACTCATATACTCCCACTGCAGTACCACTCTTTCGAATGACAGTACAGTATTATACCTGCTACGTAAAGATGCTGCAGAATGTGTGCATGTTGGAGAGATTCCCCTTTCCTCAAATAGAAAAGGATATGTAATTTTGGAGAGGCAGAATTCAAACGTGGGGAAAAATTTAGGATCTTGATGTCCAATGACCTCTGAAGAGAAATGATTTGGAGACTAAAGACTTAATTTGAGTTACTGATGGCTTTCAGATTGATATCACTCTGAAGCGTCCTCTATTGTTTAGGTTTACCATGCATGGCTGGAAATTAGCTGAAAATAGGATATTTGCAAGAAGGAAAGGATCTGTTTAACGAGTTCTTATGAAACTTACAAATGAACCTATGAGAAAAATGACAATTCTCCTGAATTTCATGGAATCACCCACAACTAGACATTGAGGCCTTCCCATCTGCTTAGAAATGTTCAAATCAGTTATTGCGATGCTTCTTTATTTAACACAGGCTTTTGTGAGTGTGTCACTGTTGCTGTATCAGTCACTCTTGGACAATTCCCTCCCTTTGCAGTTTTCTGTGTATGTGTATTATATGTCCTCAGCACCTGATCCAGAATACTAATTTCAGAAGAACAAGCTGAAGGAGAGAGCGTGTAAATATCACTGACTGGCATACCAGTTGCTTGTGCTCCCTGAAAGCCGATGATCTCAAACCAAACCTTTCTTTTAACAATAAAAACAATCCCTGAAAACTGCCAATACAGGGAAGGCCTATGGTAACAGCAAACAGTTTATTTCAGCCCAGATAAACACAAAACAAAATCTGTAGTTGTACTCAAGTGCAATTTATTCAAGACAGTTGTTGGTTACCTTTTTGTCTCAGAATCCCAGAGGGAACGTCCGAGTTACAGCAGCTAAGAGCCCCAAACTGTCTTACACCTCCTCCTCTCCCAAACAGCCCCTTCGCAGGAACTCAGTAAGGGAGCTTTCCACATTGCAAGTCTTTCAAACTCATTACATTCCTCTTAGTGTTCTATCAAAATAAATTATTTACACAGATCATAGCACAGCTTTTGAAATGCACAGTATGAGTGCTGGCTTCATTTGCACCACTGTAAAGCAGCAAGCACCTTAGTGCAGTTGGCTGTGGAAGCACTTGGACGTGAAATTGGCACCAGTGTGACCTGATTCAGGACTACTGTCCCTACACACAGAATCTGAAAAAGTAATTCAGTGACACAGCCTGTCACCTTTAGCACCACGGATATGTTGGTCATTTTACAGGAATTGCTTGCCAGGCAGCTACATCGTTTATGGTTGGACTTGATGATCTTAAGGGTCTTTTCCAACCTACATGATTCTATGATTCCATAATCATTAGCAGTAAGATGCAAATGGTAGAGAAATGTGCAACCCTCTGCTGATGTCCTTTCAGTAACCAGCCAGCTGAAGGCTCCAACAGAAATTCCAGCACATCTCATCAAGGCTAATTACTGCCCCCAGCTATCTGCGCCACCTGTCTGCTGGAGACTTCTGCAGCACAGCACAACTGTGAGAAGCTAACGTAGACCCCTCACACCCACCCCGGGAATGGAGCAGCTGAGGGGTGGTGCTGACGATGCCTGGGAAGCTTCAGCAGAGGCGCACCAGCAAATGGTGGCAACTGTCATGTCTCAGTCTGCCACAGCTGTCTGCTCAGAACATTTTTCCTGAACTTTGGGATCAGTAAACTCCACATGCTCTTTCCAGTGGCAGATTTTTTTGCATAGACAAACCACTGCTTCCAGTGGGTGCAAAAAAAAAACTGGAAATGCCCTTTTCCTCAGATTACTGTGCACTGGATGTGTAGATAATGCAACTGGCCACAAACAATCCTGCCGTGTTGGGGTGAGGGATGCCTACTGCTTTTTTTTACAAGCTCAAATCTTAGCACGAACAAACTTAGCAAAGATTATGAAAGCCCAAACAAAAATGAGGCAGAGTAGGAAAGGCTTTGTGAGTTGGCAGAAGCCCATTCCTTTGACAAGTACTGAACTTTCTGTCACTCCAGCCACAGTATGAGAGTGACGGCCAGATTGTCAGGGCACAAATTGAGTATATTTGTTTTCTTAAAAGAATAAAAGTTTAACAGAAAAACATAAGATTAATAGGTCACAGCAGAAATAAAAGGAGGTAAGAGGGACAAACGGGGGCTGAAGGCAAAACCAGAAGACTGGCAGATATGGAAATGTTGTACTGAAATAATCAGTACAAAGCACAGCAAAGAGCAGAAGGCATTTTTGGAGAGAAAACAGAGCCCTGATTTAACTGTTTTTGGAGGTGTGCTGGCTGGCTGGGGTCTCTGGCTGCTGTGTATCCCCAAGGCCAGGTGCTGAGAGGAAGGCAAACATGAAAGAGATCCTTATGTATCATAAGACCGGCAGGAATCTCAATCAACCTTCAGCTTCATCAGCTAGCGCTGGTAGAATCCATTGTAGGTGATCTGTAAACCAGACGAAGTACATTCCTCTTCTGTCCTAGGATAGAAGACCTAGAAGCATATTATGGAACCTGAGACAAAACCTCTTCTCTCCAATTTAGGCTTCCAGACAGTCTGAGACAGCGTGACTGTAGCAGGGCTGCCATCTATCTAAAGTGACTGTACAATGGATGTCGTAACTGTCAATATCAAATGAAGACCTAAGTCACCTCTTCAGGGAAGTTGCATACAGATCCAGCGCCTGGGCAAAGTGCATGCTGACGTAGAAATAGTGAAGCCATCCAAGTAGGCACACTCAGAATGATTCCAGATCTGGAACCTGAAAAAATACAGGAAGAAAACAGTGATTACTAAATGATTTCTACTGCCAAGCTAAATATTTTAGCCTGCTGTAAAGCAAAACCTCTGCTGAAGTAGTTCCCAGTTCACTTTGGTCCAGTGTGATATGGTAGTTTCAGCTGCTAAAAGCAAGGTCAGTGATAAATCATGCAAGAAAAGCCTGTTTAGCAATGCTGAATGGCTTGTATTAGAAACAGTGTGGCCAGCAGGACTAAGAAAGCGATTGTGCCCCTGTACTCAGCACTGGTGGGGCTGCACCTCAAATATTGTGTTTAGTTTTGGGCCGCTTGCTACAAGAAAGATGCTAAGGTAATGGAGAGTGTCCAAAGAAGAGCAATGAAGCTGGTGAAGGGTCTACAGCACAAGTCTTATGAGGAGCGGCTGAGGGAACTGGGGTTGTTTAGTCTGGAGAAAAGGGGGCTGAGGGGAGACCTTATCGCTCTCTACAACTACCTGAAAGGAGGTTGTAGAGAGGTGGGGGTCGGTTTCCAAAGTAACAGGTGACAGGACAAGAGAAAATGGCCTCAAGTTGCGCCAGGGGAGTTTTAGATTGAATATTAGGAAAAATTTCTTCACCAAAAGGGTTGTCAAGCACTGGAACAGGCTGCCCAGGGAAGTGGTCGAGTCACCATCCCTGGAGGTATTTAAGATGGGTAGATGTAGCGCCGAGGGACATGGTTTAGTGATAACTTGGCAGTGGTAGGTTAACGGTTGGATTTGATGATTTTAAAGGTCTCTTCCAAGCAAAACAATTCTATGATTCTATGAATCTCTGTTTCTATGAATGGTCCACACCAGGTACCATACAATAACAGAAGGAGAGACAAAAGGCCGCTTATGCTATATCCTGCCAAGAATAACTGAAGTCATAAATGGTCTAGAGAGCAAGACAGGGGGAACTGCTATTTGATGTGCCTGATGTAGAGCTGCTGTAGCCCACACATTTTCTAATACAAATAGGGGGAACATCTGGGTTGTCTGCAGGTTGTGACAAACTCACTAAAACAGATATAATTTTTCTTATGAAGCTGCTTAATCCATTGGAAGAAGATTATTTCCTCAAACCTGTCACTTCATTCTCTTTCATCCCTAAAAATTGTATACGTATTTGCTAGACTTTTTGTATTTCAGGAAGACAAGCACATAGGATCACATTGGAAACCCACCTGAAAAGAGACTGAAATGTCTATATTATGTAGTGAAAAATATGTATAAATTAAGGTAAATAGGGATGATCAATAACATTATCTTCATGTGCTGAGCTAGCAAAAAACCCTTCTTGAATCAGGGACTTCTCTACATTGATGCTATTGGAGTTAGATCAGTAATAACTGCAAAGACTTCATTTTCAAAGTCATAGTTATAAATCACAGGGAAAAAAAAGAATCCTGACAGAAATAACATTGTGCTGTAAACCCTAATTGTACATTTGCTTAGGTACATGTTAGAAAATCACAAGGAACTTACGAGTTCTCCTTGAAGACAATACCATTCTCCCAATAGAAGCTTTCACCTTTCTTGCGCAATCCAATCCAGTAGTCATCTATTTTCAAATGCTTAGCTAAAGAATGCTAAAAAAGGACAGAAAGCATTTTTGCCAACATGAGCTCTCAAAAGGAGAAACAAATTCCTCCTGTAAGTTTTGACGAGGACTAGCTCATCATTCTGTCATCTAGAACACTTTCATCAGCATTTCATTGAAAGAGAAAGACCCTAATTCTGCCTTTGAATTGACGCTTATAGTATCATAAACTTCAGTGAAGTTATTCAACTCTATACCCTTGAAAATTATTGTTCACTGCACACAAAAATACCCAATTGGTTGTGTATGTCTATATGTTTATCAATGTCTACATATGCAGCTTGGTCTAAATAGGCTGGTACACACAGGTGTTTCCTGCATTTCAGATTGGCATATGGGAACTCCTCCCCTTTCCAGTGATTATTTAAGTAATTTAAATTTTTTATCTGTAGATGTACAGAAAAAAAGAGTAGAAGACAGTTCACTGCTCCTGAAGTTTGCAACAACCTGTATCAAACACAGCAAAGAATGATGGAAGATAACAGAAAGAGCATTTGCAATGGGGTAATATTACAGAATTCCCTGCAACAAGCTATCATTACTCAGTGAACTTAAAAATGATGTAAATATTAGCTGTCAGCAGGGACTCCAATGGACATGAAAAGAGTGAATCCTTATACTCCTCCACTCTCCCCAAGCAACTTCAGTTCAACACAGTTCAGATAATACTGTCTCTGTATGGTCTCAATGCCATTTCTAGTTTTTGGTCTACCTTCTTCTGGTGTGGCTCACACTACCCAGTGCTGGAGCACACCACAGAGCACTAATCTTACCCGGTAGGCCAATGTCAGTGTTCCTGTGCTTTTCTTGCACAAGTTGTTGTTTACAGTTTGTAGGTTTAAAGTTTTTAAGCAGCAGTTTAAATAGCACCAATTCCTGTCTAGCCAATTACCAGCTGAGTATCACAGGGACCAAATTAGAAGAGCAGCTTTCAGGCAAGTAAGGAAGTGAGGCATCTACAAATTTGGTAAGAGGTGATCGCTCACAGGGCAGCGACACAGAAGGGACTTGTGGAGAGCGGACAAGCTGGTAAATATGGTTGGTATTATTGGCAAAAAAAGGGGTCTGATGATGGGATAAAATGAGAGACCACATTCAGCAAGGGACTCATACATCAAGTAAGAACTAGGCCCTGCACCTTTCTCATTGTTGAAATTCTTGTCACTGTAAAAACATTTATTAGCTCAAGTCAAATTCAGATGTGACTTAATCTGTGTAATTTCACTGAGGTTTCCTCCATTTCATTATCTGCTACACCTAGGATGTACCAGCCAACTGGGAAAGCAGCCTTTTGACCTCTATTCAACAATCACGCTAAGACGAAAGCTCTGATGTCTATCTATTTAAAACCTAACTTTTTAACAAAACTAGCTTCTCATTGACAATAGTAGAAAGACAGCAGATCTGTAAAAGCATATTACAGTTTTAGCAGCATACAGCATTAAGACGACACTAGCATTCACCGACTCAGTGCAAGTGGACAATAATACTGGCAAATCAAAGTATTTTAAAAGACTTCTTAGCATGAGAAAATGTCCAAACCAGCTTCAGCGGGGGTATATTCCCACCACTGGTATAAGCATGCATCTCTAAGAGGCATTAAGGCATATACCTGATTATACCTGCTTTGAAGATGAAGGTCCATAGGACAGAAAGGTAAAACTAGGCAAACTGTTTCATAACAAAGAGCTTTTCATAGTCATTCAAGTCAAATCCAGGCACCAAAGCAGAGTGAGGCAGCTGATACTGCTGGTGCACCTGCTGCGGCCAACCAGCTACCTAAAGTGACAAAGCAGGTACTTCCCACAACCTGTATTCCCAGAACTTACTTTTTTGCATGCAAAAAAAAAAAAAAAAAAAAAAAAAGCGCTTTGTCAAGGAAAGAGAGAGATAGAGAAATACAGTAGTTGTGTTCTGTTTTGTTGTTGTGTTTTTTTCCCATTACCATTTCCTCCTGGTTTTCAAAAATGGCTAGCAAGGATTCATTCGCAGTGCAGAAGGTCTGACTAGACGTCCAGTTTTTTTCTTCCTCTGAGATGAAATAACATTTATTTTTGTAACCTATCCAGTCACCAGGGCACTGTTCAGGAGGAAATTTTCCATGGTGAGATGTCTGAGGTTTTAAGTCTACAAAAGAAAAGACAGAACAACATTTCTACCTGCTAAAATCTTAGCATTCATCAGTGTAAGTCAACCTAAAATGTATATTTTTTGAAAGCCAGTGCCACACTAGATGCCAGAAGAGAAGCCAAAGGAAGGGCAAGGATCCTGACCTTCCCTGACTTTCGGGCACTGTCTTCAGCTGAGAAATGTGAGGGTTGGGGGCTGCAGCCCAATTATTCTTAGAAATTAAGTAGGGTTTGGAAAACAATTCCAAATTTTAGACAATTAGAGGCATTGACAACTGGTGATTTATACTCTGCACATTTTAAATCCAGTAAGAGGGTAATAAACCTCATACTGTTAATTTATTGATCGAATTCATTTTAAGTAATGAAGTTGCTTGAATATCTACAACTGGTGAGGTATTCCATGAAAGCAAGTTGCTTTTATTTTGTATCAGACCTTTAAGTGTTTGGTAAATCTATGTGATGTTAAGTAAATTGGGTGTTGATATGATGCTAATTAAATTTGTCTGTTAATGAAGACGTAAAAAATATTATTTGGAGATAATGGCTTGGAGAATGGTTAATTGGAGTTGTTACCCAGCACATTTTGATGCCCTCTTTTCATCTTCTTTCTGTCACAGTAGCTCTGTGAGGGTGATAGGACTCACTGGCATGTTTTGTTTCAGTGCCGAGTTTAATTTCATGCAATGAAAAGAATTAATTTGCATTTACTTTTGTTTCTATTTTCCAAACAAAAATAATCTGCCCTGATTGTTACTGAATGCTTACAATGACCTTTTCTGTGCAGCATGGCATCTTTTGTAACATACCCAGGCTCACCCAGTGTACAAAGCGTATTCCCTGGGTCACCCTGCTGGGACTGAATCCAGACCTTCTGCACCCAAAGTGTATTTTTCCACTGCTTAAGCTTGGAGACGGCTAATACTGAAATGAAAGTAACTGGCCATTATGGGAGTAATGGGGCGTGCAGGAAGTGAATTGATCTCCCAGACTCTGCAGCCTGCTGTTGCCACGCTTGCTCTCTTTTTCTTTCTGATCAGCTACTCTCCTTGCTATATATAATTGGAGACCCCTTAGCAAGTCACCTGTGAGCGCCACCCTCACCCCCTCCAAGAAAATGTGACTGATTAAATTAAATAAAAGCCTAACAAAGCAAAGGAAAATCAATGGGGACAGATGTCACTATCGTCCTCCATTCATTTCCACATATGTGCAGAGGACCTCACTACTATACGTCATTGCAGGGGGCAGACTGAAGATTATTTAATGCAGAGACTCAACAGCTCCCTGTGTAGACGGCACTGTGGAGGCTCCACTGAGATACATATGCACCCAGAGACTTGGAAACCTCAGCTAATACTGCAGGCAGCACAGCCTTTGCTCCTATAAAAGAGTTCTGCATGGAATAGTGGGAGCACAGCTGGCCTCCACTGTGCCAGTGGCAGGTAGGCCTGATTTCTTCAAAATACACAAATGGATTTTTAAAAACAAAAAGGCAGAATGAACCCCAAAGACCATTTGTGAAAAGACATGCTAGCTGTATTATGTAGTTGCCTTCTACGTGTGACAATAAAGGAGCCCTCAAGACCAGATATAGCAGCAGCTCACACAATAAGCCTGGAGTCTATGCCTGGAGATGCGATGCTGACTTAGTGCACTAGCTGGTATAATCAGGTAAGTTACTGTTGATAAGCACAGGCAAGACATGCATACACCACATACATGGCCAGGCAAGAAAGTACACTCTTAACAGTAAAAAGGATGCAGCGAAAAGAAAAAAAAAAACAGTTTACAAGTGAATCATCATTTTATCTGTAGGAAGAATTCTCTCTCCTTTTAAATTCTGCCTGGAGGTTATTCAACCTTAGACCAACATCAAAACAACTGAAATAGTGATAGAAGTCCCAGGTTTTGTGACTCTGCAGTACTAATGTTGGTGTGCTTGACTGCTGTGATCCTGGAGCCCAGCAGTCAGAGGAAACATATCTCAAATGGAAAATGTTCTGAAAACTTACCAAATATAATTAATATCACCAGCAGAAATACCAGCAGGGAGACCCAATAAACTGTGAAAAAGAAGATCATTAATGGTTCTGTATATATGAGCACTTGGACTCAGACTATATTTCAGTATTGAGTGAGACAGCAGCAGGATAGCCTTTCATTTAAGCTCTAAGTATGTAAATACAAAGCAAACAAGACACTGTGAATTGACATTTATGTAACTGGACAGCTTGATAAATTGACCAACTATCACCAAAATGGCTTTTTTTTTTTTTGATCTGTATACACCCTAAAGTTTTCCACCGATGCACAGATCCCTGTATATCAAATTTAAGCCTTCCAGTCCCAAGTTTAACATTTCCTCTATGTTTTGCAGACCTCTTAGCAATAACCTCCTGAGGCTGAGAACTTGCAGGTCATCACTGACTCCAAGTAAGCTACATCCATGTTTCAAAAACAGGAAAATGTCCTCCCACAATTCAAACATTAAAAGCTGAGGTTCAGAGTATGGCTGCAGTTTTGAATCAAATGTATTTTCTCTTTGTCACAGGCTCTCCTTCTCATACAAACTTCAGTGCAGATGTGCAAGCTCATCTGCTGCAAAGGCACAAACTATTAATGAGGTTTGGCTTTACCTTCTACATCTTATCCAAGAGTATTTCATACAGGTAAACTACCACATGGAAAAATGCCCATTTTCACACAAAAGGATCAAACATAAACACTTCACACTTGGATCAAATGTAACAGTTATCCTAATTTTTGTGACTACAGCTTTGCCTAGAAGGAAGCTCCCAGGTTTTGTCTTGTCCAAGACAGGGGACCTGGAACTAGATTTGGAGCTAGACTTCAGCTTCCTGCAGGAACGTGTCTTACCAAACACCAAAGAAAAAAGTCTTACATTTTGACTGCAACAACCACTTTTTACAGTGCCCTCTTGTCCTCTGCATCCATGAGCTATCTGCCACGTTCCCAAGAGATGTTTGTGCCAGGCAGGGGGTCTCACTGTTCCATCCATCTTCAGACTCCATCTACAGCTGGGCAAAAAAGAAAGAAGTTATGTTTAACAAGTGTTTCCCTTACCATCTATAAATGAGTGGAAATAGTAGAAATCCCAAAGCTGCCTTAGTTATTGCCTGTACCTGAGGGGATGAGGGCAGGGTGGACAGTGAAATGAGGAAAGAAATAGAAAATAAGGAACTTGTGCCCTTATACATATCTGAGGCCCACCGAAAGGAGAAGGTGGCCCTCAGATACATTGCATATATCCTTCTTCTCAAGAAGGGGGGCTATCAGGAATGAGGACTGTAACAGAGGGAAAGGGAAGGGCAGGGATGGGGAATATCCAGGCAGCAGGGAAAGGCCACAAAAAACAGAGCTTTCTCCTTCACCTCTAGGTAGCTTAAAGCACTTTTTTCTGCACACGAAAAGTTTGGGCAATTTCCCAAGTGAGGCTGAACCTGGTCTGCAGAGGGAAATTCACTGTACCCTTTTGTGTTGACTCCAATAAGTGGTTTTCCTTGCAGTTTTTCTTAAATTCTACTTTGAATGACACAAATTTAACTGAAAAAGTAATCCAGAAAAGAACATGCAGCTATAAACATTATTGTGTCAGTGCAGAAATGTCAATTCATCTTCATGAGTTAGGTTATAATAGGAAAAAAACCAACCCAGTACTCTTTAAGAAAGGCTTCAACATCTTTACTTTCATTACTGTTATTATTATTTATGTTAAGTGGCACATGCCTAAGAGGCCTCCTTAAGTCCACAAATTCATAACAGCAATTAGGTGCCTAAATACCTCTAAGAATCAGACTCCACTTGTGCTTGGTCCACACTACTGAAACAGGAAGAGACTAAGGCTTGGAATTACATTCTCCAATAAGGTGCTCTTTCCCCAAAGACTCTTCTCATTGCCCCGAACACATCCCCAAAACACTCTGTCCATTTTAGTGCCTGGATTTTCGTTGTTTGGTATGTGAATGTATGCTTGCTCGTGTGCTGGGCCTCTTGCTTCCAAGCGAGCATGCCACACTTTGTTATTGTACTGGAAAAGCAATGGTTTTGACTCCAGCCACAGAAGAGCTTCTCCTGAACCTTCTCATCCACACTAGGAAAAAAGCCTATTTCCCACCCTTGGCTTTTGGGTTGTAACAGTGAACAACACAGCCAACTGGGGTGCAGGTGAGCTCTGTAACACAAGCTGCTTCTTGAAGGCAGGTGCTGGCAAAAGTGTTTCAAAAGTTTGGAAGACTGAAGAAAAACATGTAGACTAAAGTTCAGCAATGTTTCACTGAGCCACAAAAAATGTTTCCATTTCTGAGAGCTTATTCAGCTAATGAAATTTGCTCTCGCTTTCTGCGATGAACTTTTTCCTTTAGAGAAAGCAGCAGCAGGTTTTTAGCAGGAATTCTGTTTGTTCTAGGCCTAGGCCACAAGACAACTGCAAGCGAACCAGAGGTCCGGGCCACCCCTGCTTTAAACAAGCACATTTTCCTCCTCATAGAATCACAGAATGGTTTAGGTTGGAAGGGATCATCTAGTTCCACCCCCCCTGCCATGGGCAGGGACACCTCCCACTAGACCAGGTTGCTCAAAGCCCCATCCAGCCTGGCCTTGAACACCGCCAGGCATGGGCCATCCACAGCTTCACTGGGCAACCTGTTCCAGTGTCTCACCACCCTCAGAGGGAAAAATTTCTTCCTAATATCTATTGGGATATCTATTCTAGGATTCCTAATATCTATTCTAAATCTGTGCTTTTTCAGTTTGAAGCCATTACCCCTCATTCTATCACTACATGCCCTTGTAAAAAATCCCATTCCAGCTTTCTCGTAGGCGCCCTTTAGGTACTGGAAGGCTGCTCTAAGTGTCCCCGGAGCCTTCTCTTCTCCAGGCTGAACAACCCCAACTCTCTCTGCATGTCCTCATAGGAGAGGTGCTCCAGCCCTCTGATCATCTTTGTGGCCCTCCTCTGGACCCACTCCAACAGGTCCATGTCTCTCCTATGTTGGGGGCTCCACAGCTGGACACAGTACTCCAGGTGGGGTCTCACCAGAGCAGATTAGATGGGCAGAACCATCTCCCTCCACCCCCTGGCCACGCTGCTGGGAATGCAGCCCAGGATGGGGTTGGCCTTCTGGGCTGCGAGCATCCCCATTTCCCTCCTCTTTAGCCCCACCTTCCCTTCGGCTTCGGCGGGGGATGCGCACACGGGCCCCAACCTAAGCCATGGCAGCAGCAGCACCCCACCTGCTCCCGGCGCTGCGGGCGGGGGCTCTCCGGCTGCCGGCC